AGAATTATTTAAGAATCAACTGAAAATATTCTACTCAGACTGCGTTAAAAGATTTGTGGACAGATGCAACATCTTTGTCCAGTAAGTGAACTGTCAATACTTTCATGCAGCGATAATTAAAGAAAAAGTCAAAAGTTCCTAATATCGTGTGGGCGAAGTCTCGCAGTCGCCAAAATATGCCAAAGGTTTAAACAAGCCAGTGCCAATATTTTCACACTTCAGCCCTTCTCGAGAAGCCACTCAGCTAGTCAAAAAATTATCCGCCTTCTGTGGAATCCAAAATTTTATTACGGTATTTACAAAAAGCCTGCCACCAATATTTATCCCAAATCAGATAAATCTAATCAACATTATTCTATTTTCTTAGATAAATTTTAATGTTATCCTCCATTTACGCCTAGCTTTTTCCGGGTGTTTCCTTCCTTCAGGCCAGGTAATCAAGACGTAGATTATGTTTTCTGACCAACAGGAAAACGTCTTTTGGACAGTCCACGGCTTGAAGAACTTCCACTGACTAGCTAAGTAACATCACTAACTTAAATGAACAAAATTAGATAACGGAACTGAGTAACCAGCTCACCGACCGTCTGACCCACTCATTGAACACCACACCAGAATTATTACTGACTTCAGTTGTTCCGGAAACCCTGTTTGACAACCGGATTATTAAGATATTTATCGTATCCTCTCGTAACATTAAATATTACAGGCTACTTTTGAGCTTGTTACTTACCTTCCATAATTATTTGCCAAATCAAAACTCTGTATGCATTTCCTGCTAATTTTTTAATCTTAGTCCATCTTTTGAGCACAAGTCTGGACTATATTTTCAGTTAGGGAAATTTTTTTAAAAAAAATTCTTTGGCCAAAGTTTTATTCTCATAATTGTATTAAACATAATCTATGTTTCATACATATTAAACCGTGACGGCTATCAGAAGTGGTTAACTACGGACTGGTTACCCGTGACTAATTGCTGTCACGTCCTGATCTGCTCGGAGATCCATCTAAT